CCCTCCTGATCCTAGTCCCCAGCTCGGGTCCAAATCCTGACCATCCAGTGCCTTGGGACGTGCTCCTAATGTGAAAGGTGCTTTATAAATGTAATTTGTTGTTGTTGTTGCATTGTTGGATGTGCCGTCCTTTGGATGAGATGTTAAACTGAGAACGTCTGCCTGTTCAGTTGGATGTTAAAGATTCTGTGACACTGTTTCAAATCCAACATTATTCTATTATTATTAAGATTACTGACTCAGACTCCATCACTGTCCAGGAATTTTTCCAAATGCTGATTTCCCACAAGGATTCACCCAGATAATTTGTTTCCCAGACATCAATTTGGAAAGTTAAAGTGCTTGTCTTATCTTAAGAATGATAGTTCAGGTCACAGAAGGCTGAATGGAAGGACAAGTTAAATGTTAATATGTACATCTCTAATGTCAGTGAAACTTGCGCAATTGGATAATTAAAGCCAAACTGTTTGCCACATAAATCCTGTGAAAATGCATAATTCAACTTGCACGTGACGTTTAACTCGTGATATCTTGTGACTCTTTCATTATCTATGGAAGATCTAGATATAAATTCTAAACTGGACCTGGGAGTTTGACCTGGAATTAGATTTATAACACAGCAGGGAGTTTGGGAGAGGGAGGGTGCAGATATACACAATGTGGTCAAAACATTGCCATTTAGGTAAGTAGAAATTTCGCCCACAGAAATCTGAAAAGATATCTGAACACTGACTGGCCACTATCAGAGTGGAGAGTTCTCAGTTTGATATATAGTTGACGCAGAAACCTCAATTATGCGGAGGTGAAAAGTATTCCAAATTGCAATTCAGTCATCAGAAAATGTAATGGTTCATCGTGAAGCAGACACCAGCCACTGACGGTGAACTTGTTTCCAAAGGCCCTTTGAAGAGCATAAGCAGTAAAGTAACAGTGTTAAAATCACGCTAAAGTAATGGCAGTGACATTGACAGTGAAAGACAAAAGTTGGACTGGATCAAAGAGGTGGTGTTCTCTTGGTAAAATAAATACTAACAATAATCATTACATTTGGTACACACAGCCTTTCACTTTAGAAAGACATCTCACAGCACTTCACTGAATTCCTGACGTGAAAGGCGCTGTACAGTATCAAATGTAAGGACTATTATTCAATGTTTCTCTACCAGGACTGCACTAGAATGTCAACTAAGCTTTGTCTGGCCTCGATGATCAGTTACATGGGGCTTAAGCCCAACACCTTTCTGTCCCAGAGCCTCGCCCCCTTCCCTCCCCACCACATCAGTGTGTCAGCCTAGATTCTGTTACTTCAAGTCCCAACCTGAGGCTTGAACCCACAACCTCCTGACTCAGAGGCAAGAGTGCTGTCATTGAGTCGGGCTGACACTGGAATATATGTTAGTCCAACTACTGGACATCAAGGTTGTACAAATGGCACAGTCACTAAACTTTGCATTAAATCCTGTGAAATTTTTCAGGTGTCCTCCCAATATGAAAGGCACGTATTATTATTATTGTTATTAAAAGTGCAGTCTGCTTATTATCTCCTAAACTTTTGTTAACTTGGATTTTCACCTCTTATTTCTCTACCAACTTAGACCAGTGAGGTGCATAATCAGAGTAATTTCTTGTTGAATTGTAAAATTGAACAGTTGGTGGCTGTATTGTAAATGCTAATGTATTAATTGTTTCAGTGACTTGGAGTCTAAACAGATAAATATCTAGATCAAGCTCAATGATTTACGGTTAAAATTATAAATATGTTCTACATAAAGGATTTTACACTGCTTCACATGCAATGTTTTTTCCTGCACATATGCATCTATTAAATATTATGAAGATCAAGGATTTTCCAGTAATTATTCTTGCGTTTGATATAGTGCATATAATGTCTCAAAGCTCCAGAATGCAGCAACCATGGATTTTATAGGCAAACACAGCAGCCAATTTTCACACGGCAATGCCCCACAAACAGCCATGAAGAGAATGGCCAATTTTATCTTGGGTATCGTCAGCCAGGACATCAGTACAAAATCTTTCCAAACAGTGCCATGGGATATTTATCAATCACCTGAACAGGCAAATTGGAAGCTTGATTTAACACCTCATACTGAAAGCTGTCATCTTTGACAACTGAGTGTTCCCCAACAACAGCTACAACTGATTGCTTTTACATACAACCTTTCATGTCAGGAGGACATCACAAGTCACTCAGCACTGCACTGGAGTGTCAACCTGGACCACGAGTTTCATGGGGCTTGAATCCTCACCTACAATTAGAATAGAAGGGATACAGAAGAAATGTATATCCTCCTGACATGAAAGGCACAATATAAATCCAATTTGTTGTTGTTATTAGGATGGTACTTGGGGGTGAATAGTTTGACTTACGAACAGAGACTGAAGGAACTGGGACTTCTTCTTTTGGAACAAAGAAGGTTGAGGGGTGACGTGATAAACATTATGAGGCATTTTGATTGAGTCAAAGTTGGGAGGAATTATTTCCACTGGTTGCTGAGTTCAGTAAATAGAAGGCATCATTAGCAGACAAGCAAATGGGGAGGTGAGAAGAAATCATAACAGTTGCACCTGTTATGTCTGAGTCTATATACTGTACCCATGATATTATTAACTAAAAGAAATCCATCGAATTTTCTTTCACCTACTGACTATTCATGATATTGAATGTGCTGCTGAGAGCTGTGGTTGAGACAGAATCCATATTAACTTTCAAAATGGAACTAGATAAATAATAATAATAATCCTTGCATTTGATATAGCGCCTTATCAATTCTTCGGTGGTCTCAAAGCGCTTCACAGATTACACTGTAAAGTGAATTGACTAACCACAGGTTCCTACTGCCTGCTAGGTAAACAGAGGTGTTTGGGGTAAGGAAACTTGCCCAACATTTTACCCTGCCTGGGAATCGAACCAATGTCTTTCGCTTGCGAGGCGAGTGCTCTAATTACTGAGCTATAGGACTCCTAAACAGCTAAAAAGGAGTCAGTCAACTACATGGGTATGGGAAAGTGCTGGTAAACGGGACTTAAAGACTCGCTCTTAAAAGAGCCAACACAGACACAATGGGCCGAATGGTCTTCTTCTGAGCAGTAAGTTTCTATGGTTTTATGGTTTCTTTCTGACCCAAGATGCTGCCAACTGATCCAGTCTGACAGCTTAGGGACACCAGGAGTGTGTGCTTCAGTCATCAAATATCATAGTATCCTTGTTCTCTCTTTTTTCTTCTTAAATATTTTGAAAAACATGAAAATAAATACTCGAATCGTAAGGACATCTATTTTTCAACAAAAAAGGCCAATTTCACTACCAGCTGTAATTTGTCATAAACCCATTAAGGATAAAGTGTGTTTTAAACAGTAGGAACAAGAAGGATCGAGAGCCTGGCTGACTGGGCCTAAAGTGAAACTAAATTAAAATAAAATTTAAATCGTAAATAAATAATCAATCAACGTTCTTTTCTCTCATCTCTCCCACATTGATTTCTTCGTCAAATAGCTATCGGATTCCCTCTAAATTTGCTGACACAACTCCACTCCCTGAACAGTCTTTGGCACGTATTCATCACACTCCGTGTGAAATAATTGAATCAGAATGGCCTGTTTATTCACTGGTACTTTATCTGGACTCGAATTCTTTATCCCTTTCATCTAGATTTCTTTTTAATAATCTTTGCATTTGATATAATAATAATAATAATAATAATAATAATAATCCTTGCATTTGATATAGCACTTTTTACATCTTCTAGACATCTCAAAGCGCTTCACAGAACATGCTGTAAAGCGAATTGACCTTATACCTTTGGGCGAAATGCGGCAGCCAATTGCGCACAGCACAGCAGTGTCCCACAAACAGTCGTGAATTGAAAAGGACCAATTTATTATTGTTTTGTTTTAGAGGGATTATTATTAGGCGTGTGGAGTAAGGAAACTTGCCCACGGTTTCACCCTGCCTGGAATTGAACCCAGGTGTCTCGCTTGCAAGGCGCGTGCTCTAACCACTGGGCTACAGGACACCACATATATAGCGCCTTATCATACCTTTGAGGCATCTCAAAGCAGAATATACTGTGAAGTGAATTGACGGTATATATTGTGAGCGATATGTTTGGTGGGTATACTTTGATGTTCAACCCTTACAGTGAGGGGAAAATGCAAGATGTGATGTGAAAGTATTCACTCATAATAAAAACTAATGATAATCGAAGTTCCTGTAGTTGATATAGTGCCTTATCAAATTAGGATTATCACATTAAAATTTTACTGTAAAGTGGAGTGACTGAGTTTTGTACATTCATGATTTTCCAAACACGACCTCACAATATTATAAGATGGGTTCAGATGAAGAAGGTCCTTTGACCCATTCAGTCTTGTCCTTCCAGAGAACCTACCCCACTTAGTCTCCCCCTCCCCCCATCGCAGAATCAACTGCTTTTTAAATGAGTCCCAATATACTGGTCTCAACCACCTTATAATAATAGAATAATAATCCCTGCATTTAATAAAGGCCCTTATCACATTGTTTAAACGTCTCAATATATTGCATAAGTAAATTGACAGTGTATTTTGTAGGCGTAACAGCCACGGTTTTCAGTGACCATGGCTTTTTTTTGGGGGGGAGGGATTATTATCCGGGGAATGCAATCTGCCAATCGACGGACAACCGGGTTTCTATAAGGCAAACAGATGTGTGTAGAGTAAGGAACCTTGCCTAAGGTTTCGCCCTCCCCGGAATCGAACCCGGCTTCTCTCGCTTGCGCGTTGATTGTGATAATCACTACACTACGGGACTCCACCTTTCCTGGCAACCCTTACTTACCCTTTGAATAACAAAAATCTTCCTGGTATCTGTCCTAAAATTGCCCTTTACGACTCTAAACCTGTGTCCCGTGAATTTAGATCATCCAATGCTGTGCAGCAGGAGAAGATGTGCCAATGCAGTGGATGAACTGACCCGGCATTTGTTCCTTTCCCTATCCCAGGTGCCCTCCAGGATTCTCCGGGAAGTTCTGTGAGCTGGACATAAATGAATGTGGATCTGCGCCATGTCTCAATGGTGGCTTATGTCAGGATCATGTCAACAATTATTCCTGCACCTGCACACAAGGTAAATCCCCAGGAATTCCACAACTCACAGGGGCTCATGCTTCTCTCCACACCCCACAGAAGGTCAATAGATCAAAGGGGATCTTATAAACAACAACAATAATTTGCGTTTATATCCCTCGCTTTGTGCAGTATAGCATTTCAGATCGCTGCACAAGGGTGGGGTGGACCCTGAGCAAAGGAGAGGGACCATAATCAAAGAGGTAAGTCTTAAGGAAGGATTGAAAGTTAGATTGAAGAGGGGAATGATTAACACAGGGAGTGTGTCAGAAGTTAGGACCTTAGTGACTGAAGGCATGATAACTGATGGTGGCACAAAAAGGTTGGGAGATGCTCAGCAATGTGTCAGCCACCTCGATGTTCTATAGACCCAAGTCCAATGATGTGTTCCACACTTACTTAGCACCAACTGCTTAATCCAGGTCCTCCTGTGAGAGGTTTCAGCAAAATGACTTCCTTCCCCATTTCCTCCCTGCCCCAGGTGTAGTTTTCCTTTGGAAATGTGAAATTAATTTTAACCCGGTCGGTTTTCTTCCTGTTTGCTTGTGTCAGGCTGGATGGGAACTCACTGTGATGTGGACATTGACGAGTGTTACCCAATGCCTTGTGTCCATGGTATCTGTGTCCAGAACAAGCCTGGCCGTGCCTACACCTGCTTCTGCAGCCCTGGATATGTGGTGAGTTACAGAGACTGAGTGAGTCGCTCATAAAGAAACTCCCTTCTCTTTTTGAATAGTGCCATGGGATCTTTAACATCCACTTGAACAGGCTTCAGAGTATCCAAACCAAACTGAGAATTCCACACATTTATAAAGTGCCTTTCATGTCAGGAGGTCTTCCCAAGGCACTGAACAGTCGTGGGTCAGGACCCGGGTGTGGGGGGGCAGGGTTGGTATGAGGTAGGAGGGCGGCTGAAGGCATGTTCAAAAAGGAGGGTCTTGAGTCGTGCCTTGAAGGAGGCAAGAGAGGAAGCAAGGCGAAGGGATCGTGGGATGGAGTTACAGAGGGTGGGGACAGAGAGGCTGAAAGCTTGGCCGCCGATGGTAGGGCGGGTCCGGCGGGAGATATATAATAATAATCCTTGCATTTGATATAGCACTTTTCACGTCTTCTAGACGTCTCAAAGCGCTTCACAGAATAGACTGTAAAGTGAATTGACCGTATATTTGTGGGCGAAATGCGGCAGCCAATTGCGCACAGCAGTGTCCCACAAACAGTCATGGATTGAAATGACCAATTTATGACCAAGTTAGAAGGTAGGGATGGGTCCAGGGAAGGTTTTTTCAGGATGGGGATGATTATAGCTGTTTTTAGGAGGATGGGTGCCAGATGATAGGGAGCGATTGGTGGTGTCGGAGAGTAGAGGGGCGAGGAGATGGAGTTGGAAGGCAAGGAGAGGGGTGGGGATGGGGTCAAGGGAGCAGTTGGTATGTTTGATGCTGGATATCTACACATGGAATTCCCATAAATAGATTGTTGGAATGGAATGTGCACTCTCTTCCCGGAGGGACACATCCTCTTTACCTAATTCTGGCAAGTATTTGGCGCAGGTTGGTAAGAGCCAAGGCTTGGGGACCCAAATGCACGCCATTGATATTGTTGTCTGGCAAGCTTTCCCGCTGCTTGTCTAGCTCGGACCATCCCACCTTCATATTTGAAATAACCTGGCTTTACTGGAGTTTAAAGAAAGCTTCACGCAGCATGTGAAGAGGCCGCCAGGCGTTTGAACGTTCGGTTGTCAGCATCGACGCCCAGTTTATACAGTTGAAACTTTAGCTGCTCCGCAGTGATTTTGAACCACATCAAAGCAATTGAAAAGATTAGATTTCAAGGTTATTAAGACCCTTTAGTCTGTGAACATTGGATGTAGTCGGGAACATAATATTGAAAATCATATTTATTAATCCTCTTCGAGGGCCATAAAGCTTAACGTCAGGGTTTATGGAAGGTCTTTTGGAGCATGTCACGTTCCAATAACTCAGAGAGCCTCCTGCGATATTAGAATGTCCTCGCCTAATCCCACATAAATTTGTTAAGCACGGAATTTGAGTAAAATCTTCAAAATTACGGTCTCTGTGTGTGTATAAAAAAGATAACTCGTTACTTCTTATGTAATGGGTTTTAAAGGTTCTTTGACTATTATTTAGGATGCACTGGTTTAATATTGATACAGAGATCATGTCCTTGCATGCGGCAACCAGTGGTGTAGAACAAAACTCTAATGATATTGTTCATGCTTACTTGATATAACAACTTATCATGTCGAGTGGCTGCCACATTTCGCCTGCAAAATATACATTCATTTCACTTTACAGTATATTCTGTGAAGCGCTTTGAGATGTCTCGAAGACATGATAAGGAGCTATATCAAACGCAAAGATTATTAATATTATGTCATTGAACTGTTTCAAAGCACTTCACAGGATTTACTCTAAGTTGCAGCCATTTACAAAAATAATAATAATTATTGCATTTGGTATAGCACCTTTTGTGTCACAAGGACGTCTCAAATGAAAAAGGCGCTATATTAATGTAAGAAGTATTGTATCATTCAGAATAATTGACTAAATTCCAAAATTGCCTTTTTGTTTAGTGACAGAAAGTGACTCCATTACATCGACTGAGTTGAATGGAGTCCCATCAGGTTCCTCTGTAACATAATACACCTTTACGAGAGGGGAAGTCACAGACAAAACAGAGGAATTTTCTCATTGTCTGATCCCTTTGAGAAGGCACCTCCTCAAAGATTAAACCATTGTTTGGGATAGATCGATGCCTAGGAAACAGAGTACCATCTGCAAATAGCCATGTTCAAGCCACTTTCCCGATTCAAGAACTTTAATTTCAATTTTATTTGTGCAGCAGTTCAAGCAAGGTAGGAGGGGAGGAAGGAGGGGAAACAAAAATCAATTTCAATTTCCAATGACTTTAAATGCAGCTTCAAAATCCTTTGATACAGTTTACAGCGAGCTTGTAAATCTGACCTTTTCTAAACCTGTGTAATCACGGCAACAGCAAATGCATCTCAATGTACGAACATTGAGTATCAACATCAATGTATGAGGAAATCATCCACCTCGTTACATGATGTTTTGATGCACTAATACCCTTGTACCTTGCGTTCGCCAATCTTTCCATCGGTCACCTCTTTCCCCACTACCACCTTTCCGTCCCCTTTTCGACTGCGTAACTCTTTCTCAGCGCTATATAAATAATCCTTACACTCGATAATCCATTCATGTGGTTTTACAACAACAATAACTTGCATTTATACAGCACCTTTCACACAGAGTAGAGTCCCTGATGTTACATCTACAAGGTACTTGACAGTGTATTTTGTAGCCGTCGATTTGCACTCAGCCCATAGCAGCCACCATCAGGTGAATTACCAGTTTTGTTATCTGGAGAATTGTTGGCCAGGACACCCTGGAAAAACTCCCTATGTTGTACTCTTTAATTATAAATCATTGTTATTATTGAGAAACTTTTGCCTACAAAATACACAGTCGCTTTGCTTGATGCTCTATCCCACAATCCAATACGTGATATCAGGAAATGTCAAATGGATAGGATTATTATCATTACATCAACATTTCCACATTATAGCAACCAAAATCCAATACATGGCAAACACTGTTATAATGGAGTCCTGTACTCAGTGGTTAGAGCACTCGCCTGGCAAGCGAAGGACCTGAGATCGACTCCCGGCAGGGCGAAATGCTGGACAAGTTTCCTTACTTCACACGCCTTTGTTTATCTAGCAGTAAGTAGGAACCTGGTTGCTATTCGATTGGCAGATCGCTTTTCCGGGGGTAACAATTCCTTCAAAAAAAATAATAATAATAATAATAATTTGGTCACTCAATCCACGACTGTTTGTGGGTCACTGCTGTGCGCAATTGGCTGCCGCATTTCACCCACAAAATATACAATTAATTCACTTTACAGTATATTCTGTGAAGCACTTTGAGACGTATCGAAGATGTGATAAAATACTATATAAAATGCAAGGATTATTATTATTATCATGCAGACTAATTCATTGTTTCAGGCTCACAATGGGTGACAGGCAACGAAAGAGTGATATCTAATCCGGAGTATGATGAGCTCCCTTTAAAAGCAAGACCTGAAATCCCTAATTCTATTAGCCCTGAGACTTTCAGACGTCAGCACTTAATTATAATTCTTGCATTTCATAAAGCGCCTTATCACATCGTTGAGATGTCTCAAAGCATTTCACAGGATATGCTGTGAAGTGAATTGACTGTATTTTGTGGGTGAATGTAGCAGCAATGTCCCACAACCAGCAACATCCTTGAACAGGCAAACGGGACCCCAGTTTAACATCTCACCCTAAGGACGGCACCTCCAACAATGCAACACTGTGTGATTCCAAGTCCTGATATGGGGCTTGAACCCACAACCTTCTGACTCAGAGAGGAGAGTGTGCTACCACAGTGCCAGACTGACACACTTGTAATCTCTCCTCATTTTGACCCAGCTCCCCTCTATTTGCCTTCAGCTAATTTTGAATTCATGTCTGTCTCTTGCCCTTAATATCCAGTTTGTAAGGGAGTCTGTTTAGCAGCAAGTTCTTTAAACAGATAGACTTCAGATATTCACAGTACAGTAGCCCATGTAAGATATTGTTAGCATGTGGCTGTGTGCTTCTGTGAGCTTGAACCTTGGCTGTCAACACGCAGTAGTTCAACAGAAGTCATTCAGTCAGAGGAATCGTGCTGCTAGCCAACTGGCTCACACTTGAAACGATAGTCGAATATGATTAACCGATTGCCCTCACTGGAACTTGCAGCCGTGCTTCGCTTATCCAATTGCGATTCCCATCCTGTTCAGATCAGTGCATCCAATCGTGCCCATTGACAGCTAACCCAGAGTGTGGCTCAACACATCTTCGATGGGAGATTGTAAGATTCTTTAACCATCTGGACCTGTCAGAGTTTAGAAGCAGAACAGTAGAACACAATCAATGTGCTCTTGCCCGCTTCCGAGGGCACAGCTGTTTATTGAGTCAATTGTGTTGATGTTTCTCAAGCAAACGCCTTCAAAGCTAAATTGTCCTCGGGCGAATTTCAGATAAATCCACTGCAAACTATTAGATGCCTTGTTGAATGAGACCGCTGCTAGCATTGGTCCCATTAGTGCATCTAACAGGTTAGAAACTGACAGGCCATGTGCCATGACAAATCCTAACCTGGTATCTCCTGTGCTTTACTGGAAGGAATAGCCTCTCTCTGACCAAAGAGAATATTAATAGATAGTCAAGATCTCTGTATCTGTATTACTCGGGGCAATGTGCTTCAGGGTGCTCAAAAAGGACCAATTAGATGTCTGAAACGAAGTGGGATGGAGGTTAACATTAAGTCTCTTTTGCGACTGGCCAAGTTCGAAGGTTTCATTGTACAACCCAAGAGGTGACCTGAGCTTCTTAACAACAGCCGGGGAAATAACTATCAGCCCCAGAGCTTTGGCAAAGGGGATGAAGCTCAGCTGGCCTTGGCTTGCGGATATCAGCTTTCTCAGTGATGTTTTTTTTCGCTCTGTAAAAGCAGAAAGAACAGGGAATTAAATGTTATGAAAAAATAAATGGGACGGACTGGCTGCCTGGCGATGTTGAGCTCTGAGGTGAAAAGTCCCCTCTTGAACCCATCAATGGAACTTATTGTCCATTTTCACTCCACTTGATGAATCAAGAGCCATCCAGTTCACCCCTCCCTTCCCCCCCCTCCCCCCCCATCGTTTCCCCAATCTGCCTTGCCCACCCAACCCCCGTTCCCCATCTTCAGATCGCACCTGAAGACTTTCTTCTTCAACCGTGCTTATAGTGACATCCCCCTGGCTCAGGATCTGCTCCGCCACTATTAATTACTCTGGGATTCTACCCTGCTTGAGGGGCGTTTATATAAATGTGAGTTGTTGTTGTTCAAAGTGCGTGCAAAGACCCACCCCATCTTTTCTCTTCAATTTGTATTCCTAAACCATCAGAAAAAAAACTTGTCAGGTCTCCAGCCTCTGGATTACTAACATTCCCCACTTCAGGCCTTTCATTTAATCTGCTGGTGTTGAAACTATCTGCCACAGCGTCAGTTAAGAAAAAATAACAATAAGAATCTTTGCATTTAATATAGCGCCTTATCGCTTCATTGAGACATCTAGAAGTGCTTCATGGAATATACTGTAGAGTGATAATAATAATAATAATAATAATAACTGATTGACTGTATATTTTGTGGGTGAAAGGCAACAGCCAATTGCACCCAATAGTGTATACAAACAGTCACGGATTGAGTGACCAAATTATAATTCTTTTTGAAGGGACTATTACCCCTAGAAAGCAATCCGTCAATCAACTAACTACTGGGCTCCTACTTACTGCTAGGTAAACAGAGATGTGTGGAGTGAGGAAACTTGCCTAAGAGTTAGGGTTAGGGGTAGAGTTAGGAGAGAATCAAACCTTTGCGAATTGAACGCTCACTTGCGAGGCGAGTGCACTAACCATTGATACAGGACTCCACTGTGCCTAACAATGGATTGTAGGGGTTGAATGCCTCAGAAGCCTCACATTTCACCCAGAATTGGTCTATAAGACTGACCATTTTGCCTTTGAATTAAAAGTTCTGCAGACCCAAGGAAAATGCATCAATTCAGTCTTATAACAATAATAATCCTTGCATTTGATATAGTGCCTTATCGTTGTCGTTTAGACGCCTCAAAGCGCTTCGGGATATAGCGTAAAGTGATGCGACTTTGTATGTTTTGTGATGAGGAAGCCAGGTTTCTGCTTTGTTTTTTTAAAGAAAAGTTCCCGCAATAAGATGGAATTTTCCACCATTCTGCATGATCTTCAATTTCAAGAGAAAATTGTCTTCTAGGCTAAGACTAGGTGAAATTTTGATCCTCAGGCAAACATTCACACTTGGTTTTCGTAGCAATAGCAGCTCCCGTTCGTGTCATATATTTACGTTTAAATATAAAAATATAACAATAATTTAGTCACTCAAACCACAACTGTTTGTGGGACACTGCTGTGCGCAATTGGCTGCCACATTTCGCCCACCGGATATATAGTCAATTCACTTTACAGTATATTCTGTGAAGCGCTTTGAGACGACTCGATGATAACTGATGTACCAAATGCAAGGATTATTATTATATATTATCACAAATTAGAGATCACCTCTTCATCTACACTAGGTGGCTGCCAACGGATGGAATGAGAATGTGATGGAAAAGGAGGAATTTAAAGCATTTGTGTCCACAGCGAAGCTTGAAATTTTGGATGAAATCCCCAAGCTAAGTGTTCAGCCCATATATCTCATTTGCCCACTTAAATTCCACCTCTGAAATATACCTTTTCTATACACTCAGTTGACAACCGCACTTGGGGGCAGAGAAATGCTTTATCCTCTGGCCTCATTTACCACTGTTTGACAACACTTTCTAATGAAAAAGAAGGCAGCTGTGAAGCGTTTCTGAAAGGATCTTGACAAGTTCCTGTCAACTAAAAGGATTGAGGGTTATTAGGTTTAAGGATTGATATACTGGAGAGGTGTTGTCAGAATTGGGATGGTAAGTTGCCTTGTTGGATGGTTCACTTCCAATGTATTGACGGTGGAAGCAGAAAGTGTTGTTTCTTTCAAGAACAAATTAGATTGATTTCTGCTTGAAAATAGTATCTCAGGATACAGTGTATAGTTTGGGCCACGACATGTCAAACGACTGCCAGGATGGTGGAAGGCAAACTAGGTGGACCTCGGTCTTCTTTCGCCGAGCAAATTCTTATGTTCTTATTTGTGAACTAAAAAGGACTTCAGAGCAATTAGGAGTTTATTATAATAATAACAATTCTTGTAACTGATTTTCGATTGAATTCCTTTCATGTCAAAACATCCTTCCTCAAAGGATTTACTGCAGAGTGTAGTGATTGTATGTTGTGCACAAACACGGCAATTCATTTAATAATAATAATAATAATTCTTACATTTGATATAGTAACTGATCATGTTTTTGAGATGTCTCAAAGTGCTTCACAGGATATACTGTAAAGTGAAGTGACTGTGTATTTTGTGGGCGAATGCAACAGCCAATTGCACACAGCAGTGTCCCACAACAGTTGAGGATTGAATGAGCCTTTAGATGAGACGTTAAACTGAGGTTCTGTCTGCCTGTTCAGGTGGACGTAAGTATCCCAAGCTACCACTCGAAAAGAGAAAGGATTTTCTCCCAGTGTCTTGTTTAACAATGCCCCCAAGTAAAATTAGTCACGAAGTGACATGAAAGGTACTATATGAAATGCAAGAATTTTTATAATTATTATGACCACTATCATGGTGTATAATTCTTTCAAGAACAACATAATAATAATAAATTTCTTCACTTCAATCCACGACTGTTTGTGGGACACCGCTGCGTTTCGCCCACAAAAAAACAGTCAATTCACTTTACAGTATATTCTGTTAAGCGCTTTGAGACGTTGTGAAGACGTGATAAGGTGCTATATCAAATGTACCTTATCAGATTTTACTGTAAAGTGTAGTGACTGTGTATTTTGCAGTTGAACACCTTGGGCCAACTCAGCTGTGAAGCGCTTTAAGATGTTTGCACACAACAACATCTCACAAACAGCCGTTGAAGTGAATGACCCAACATTATCTGGAGTATTGCTGGCCAGGACACCAAGAGAAACTCTATGTTTCGAGAGCTGATTCTGCCATTCAGACAAATATTTAAAACATTCAACGGCAGAGATTCTCAGCCGAGCGCAATTGGCTGCCGCATTTCGCCCACTAAAAAAAATATACACTTTACAGTTTATTCTGTGAAGCGCTTTGAGACGTCTCGAAAACGTGATCAGGAGCTTAATCGAATGCAAGGATTATTATTATCATTACTGTTGTTATGTAGCTCGGAAAACTGTCTGTGACCGAGACCCAGACAGATGAAAGTCAGCCGAGATGTTGTGCAAGCAAAAGTCACAGACTTGTTACAAACTACTCGTATTCTTTTTCAGGGCATAAACTGCGAGCTAAATTACAACGATTGCTTCATCTACACTTGCCCAGCAGGCTTTCTCTGCCGAGATGGCCTGAACAACATAAGTTGCCTTCCAATGATCTCGTTCACCAGCACGAGCAAAAGTCTTGCCGCGGCGACCTCTGCTGGAACCCTTGATATTGCGCCACTACCAATCTCTGCAACAGCCTGGAGCTTGGTTGCGAATGGAGAAGGCAAGGACTCTCAAGGTAAGGCATCTGACATTGAAGCTGAGCAAGAAAGTGACAGATTTTTACAGCTGTGTGTCACGCACTTTACTAAATCAGCAGAATGTCCTAGCCTCGGCCTCCTTCGTAATTGCAGTAGACACGAGGAGTCCAATTTTATAATAATGATCCTTACGTTTGATACAGCGCCTTATCACGTCGTCAAGACGTCTCAAAGCGCTTCACAGAATCTACCATAAAGTGCTTGACCATGTATTTTGTGAGCAAAATGCAGCAGCCAATTGCCCACAACAATGTTTCACAAACAGGCCAATTTTATTTTGAGGATTGTTGGCCAGGACACCGGGAGAAACTCTTCTCTTTTCGAATAGGGCCATGGGATCTTCAACATCCACCTGAACAGGCAGACGGGACCTCAGTTTAGCATCTCATATGAAGGACAGCATCTCTGAGAATGCAATACATCCCCAGCTCTGCACTCGAGTGTCAGTTTAGACGATGTGATTCTAAGTCCCAACGTGGGGCTTGAACCCACAACCTTGTGACTCAGAAGCAAGAGCGCTACCAATTGAGCCAGGAATTTAGAGCCATTCACCTCATGCCGCAGCTCTGATTAAAACTAAATTTTATTTCACTTTGAAGTTTCACTATTGCTCGTGTTTACTCTCTCTTCCCCTCCCCCTTTTCCGCTCCCATCACTTTCAACCACTACGCCTCGAAACTCTGGAACACTCTCCCTCAATCCCTCCTCCATGCCCCCTCTCTCCCCTCTTTCAAATAAATAATCCTTGCATTTGATACAGCACTTTTCACGTCTTCTAGACGTCTCAAAGCGCTTCACAGAATATGCTGTGAAGTGAATTGACCGTTAAGTCTCGCCTGAAAACCTTCCTCTTCGACCGTGCTTACAGACACCTCCCCCTCCCCCTGGCTCCGAGTCAGGATCCACCACCGTTAAGCGCTCTGAGACGCTACCCTGTGTGGAGCGGGCTGTATAAGTGCAAGTTGCTGTTGTTGCCTTTTATATTTTATGCCTCTGTCAATGTCCAGAGAACATCTGGGTTTGAGCAACTGAACAAGTAAAGATAATGCTATGAGTGAGTTGAGCGACAGTAACTATGAACTCTCTGATCACTTAGAAAATCCTGCATATATAGCACCCTTCGTAACAGCAACAAATTGTATTACTATCGTGTCTTTTACATTGGGAGGATGTCCCACAGCCTTGGCCAGTCGAGGGTTTAGAGGCAAGCTGCAGGTTGAATTCAGGAGGGGTGGGGTCCAAGGGGAGTGGGAGGGTGACCGAAGGCACGGTCTAAAAAAGAAGGTCTTGAGATTGACCTTGAAGAAGGCAAGAGAGGGAACGAGGCAAAGGGACTGTGGGATAGAGATCCAGAGAGTGGGGGCAGAAAGCCTGACAGCTTGACCTCCGATGGTGGAGTGGATAAGTTGGGGGACGTGAAGCAGGTTTGTGTCTGCTGAGCAGAGGAAGCGGATGAGTTGGTAAGGTTTTAGCAGAGATAGGGTGGGGCAAGACAGTGGAGGGCTTTAAAAGTGAGAACAAGAACTCGAAGGCATCAAAACTGTTTCCACTGGCAGGTGGGTGGGGAACCAGAGGACCCAGGCTTAAGATAATTGCCAAAAGAACCAGAGGGGAAATGAGGAGATCTTGTTTACGCAGCGAGTTGTTACGATCTGGAATGCACTGCCTGAAAGGGTGGTGGAAGCAGATTCAATAATAACTTTCAAAAGGGAATTGAATATTGACTTGAAAAGGAAAAGGAACAACATGCTGGGTTGTGGAGTAAGTGCGGGGGAGTGGGACAAATTGGATAGCTCCTTCACCCATACAATATACAATCAATTCACTTTACAGTACATTTTGTTAATCGCTTTAAGATGTCTCGAAGATGTGATAAAGCACTACATCAAATGCAAGGATAATTATTATTATTATAAAGAGTCGGCACAGGCTCAATGGGCTGAATGGCCTCCTTCTGTGCTGTAGGATTTAATAATTCTATGGCAGCAAGTGTGTTTGTCAGCAAGCACATTCAGCGCTTTGAGAAACTTGTCCCTTTTTAGAAGTCTGCTAGGAATTACTGCAAATCGGAACCCATATGTTAGGACCTCAATGCGTGCTTCTCACTTACATTGCAGAAAGAGAGTCTCAGCCTCATTTAAATTTCCGAAGTATAATCCACTCCTGCTGATGGAGCTGATTTAACTTTCCTGAGACTGAGGTATTACTCAAACATCAAATAAATTACTTAGGTGTCTCTCTCTATTATTTACACTTTGCTCCGTGCCTTAGAGCGAGTCTGCTGCTTGTAATTTAATATCTACCTTGACGTAAAACAGCAAACCAGGGGAAGGAGAGTGTTTAATCTTTCACATCTTAAAGCGCTGCACTGTGACCAAACACCTTGCTGTTAGTGCTGCTCTGTTCATATGGATTACAGCTCTGTTGTGAAGCAGTTTGAAGTCAGGGAAAAAAAAGCTGATTTTTTAGTATTTTAACTCGAAGATGGAGCCAATGTCATCTCATTAGTGCCTATGTTTAGGGTCTGATCGTTAATGGTTTTAGTTGTCGATCCAATGGTAAAAAAAAATGCCTTCTCATCCACCCACTGTTTGATTGATAAAGACACAGCCTGGCACGTAATAATAATCCTTGCCTTTGATATAGCACCTCATCACGTCAATGAGACAGCTCAAAGCGCTTCACACAACATACTGCAAAGTGGATTAATTGTGTAGTTTGTGGGTGAAACTAGGCAGCCAATTGCGCACAGCAGTGTCCCACAAACAGATGTGGATTGAGTGACCACATTGTTTTTCTGAGGGATTATTACCCCCGGAAAAGCGATCCGCCAATCGACTAACAACCGGGTTCCTACTTATTGCTAGGTAAACAGAGGAGTGTGGAATAAAGAAACTTGCGTGAAGCTTTGCCCCAGCCGGGAATCGAAGCCAGGTTCTCTCGCTTGCGAGGCGCGAGCACTAACCACTGAGCTACAGGACAACATGTAGTGAAGGAGCACAAACAGGGCTATTCCACATTGGCTTGACCTCAAGACTTGCATCTTTGAACTCGTTTTCGGTCGTCTCTTCCCTCGCCAACCTCTTATGCTCACTCACACTCACACACAAACACACACACACACACACACACACACCAACTCAGCCAGCCAGCAGTTTGAAGTACTTTGTGATGTCCTCCCAACATGAAAGGAGCTCCATTGAATTATACTATTGTAACTGAGGCAGATCTTCTCAGGAGCTGTCTTGGCTCAGTTTGATCGACCCTGTTGCTTCCAGATTAGAAGATTGTGGGTTCAAGCCCCAATTTGAGATGCTGACTTCATGGACTTCACTGACATTCCCCTGCAGTACTGGGGGGAGCACAGCATTATCAAAGGTGCCAGCCTTTGGTTGGAAAAATTAACTAAAGGCCAGTTTCTCCGAATGACCTGGCTAACAATCCCCAAAATAAAAAATCTTCACTCGTTTCATGGCTGGATGCGGCTTATTGCTGTGCACAATTGTGCTTCGCGACCACATCACTCCCACCCTTTCTCACCTCCACTGGCTCCCCATCCCCCAGAGGATCGAATTCAAGATCCTCATCCTCACCTACAAGGCCATTCACGGCCTTTATCCCTCCTACCTCTCTGAACTACTATCCCCCTACTTCCCTACCCGTCCCCTCCGTTCCTCTGGCTCCGGTCTGCTCCACATCCCCCGCCCCAACCGCCCTACCATCGGTGGCCGGGCCTTCAGCCTCTCAGCCCCTAGGCTCTGGAACTCTATCCCCCAGTGCCTTCGCCGCTTCCTCCCTTTCCTCCTTCAAGACCGGTGTCAAGACCTTTCTATTTGACCGTGCCTTCAGCTCCCCTCTCGACTCTTTACCCCCTCCTCACTCCCTCCCTTCCCTCCCCTCACCCTGACCATTTGCCCCCCTACTCGCTACCTCCCTTCCCTCCCCTCACCCTGACCATTTTCCCCCCAAGGCTCGGGTCCTGACCCAACTGTCCAGCGCCTTGGGACGTCCTCCCGACGTGAAAGGCACTCTATAAATGGAACCTTGTTGTTGTTGTTGTTGTTGCTGCTGCTGCATTTGTCTACAGACACAGTCACTCCATTTTACAGTAATTCCTGCGAAGCGCTTTGAGGTGTCCTTCGGACGTGATAAGATGCTATACCGAATGCAAGGATTATTATTATTATATAAAATCGTTCACTCCTGCATGGCTATTTGTGAGCAAAATTGGCTGGCACGTTTGTCACCACCATACACAGTAACTACACATCACAGTAAATCCTGTGAAGGGCAGGACTTAAACCCACAACCTTCTGACGAGAGTTTTTTCTCTAGCAGCTGAGCCAGACTGACACATGATCTGAGTACAGTATTGAGAATGTCTCAAAAATCTACTGCGTTTTTATAATAATGTGCTCAGCGTGATATTTAACACACCAAAATGCGTCACGAAACCTCACAAATTCACCTCTGTATAGGCTTTTTCTCTTAAGCTTATCTTTATGTTGGAATTAAAACAGCATGCCTTCGATGGCTCGAGCACTGTAGGCACTGTGCCTGAGTGAGATTTTGTTTCCTCTCTCGCTCTCTTTCCCTATCGCTCTCTCTCTCTCGCTCGCTCTCTCTCTCGCTCTCTCACTCTCTCTCGCTCTCTCTCTCTCTCTCGCTGACGTCCCCTGGTTTTAGCTGTTCGTAGGCGTGACAGTGGCAAGATGACCTATTGTTGGAGTGTTGCGAGAAATTAATGGGCGTAGTGTAATCTTGCACCACGTATGGGATACCAAAGTCCCTAACCGGTACCTGACCTCAGCAGTGCAGAAAATTGCATTTTCACACACCTTGGTTTTCATTTCGTTTTTGTTGAGATGTGAAATTTAGCATGTCGCATAACAGCTCTGGCTCCTTCCTCCCTCCGCCGCTGCATTTCGTCAGCGTGATGCTGAGCCCGTCTTTCTACCTTCACCATAATAATAGTCAG